ATTTCTTTTTTTTTTTTTTTTTTTTCAAAAAGAAAGCATTGTAGAAATGTTTCCACCATAATGAGTGAAATGGGAATGATCATTAAGAGAGAGAAAATAATGAGGACTTAAACAGAAGCCCCTCGTGGGATGCCAGGGCTGGCGGGACAGAATGACATTAAACAATGAGGTTATGATTCCTTAAATCACTGATCGGCTCCAATCACGAGCGAGGAAGCTTTTCTTTCACAACTGCCTTCCAAAGCCCTGTATCTAATAAGAAAGTACCAGTTAAAAAAAAAAAGCCTTTCTCTTAAACTTTTAACTTTCTTGGAAACACTTCACTTCTGGTGCTCAGACCTGTCCTTTCCCTTTCTTCAGCTCCTGTATTTCCTCCCTCTTAAAACATGGTCTGCCCCTTTTCGGTATTCCGAAGAGTTCCTCTTTTTCCACTCATAATTCAAATACTTAAATACGAACACTGAGATGTCCACCAACTTTGTATCCTCTGGAGATGCAACCTGAAAGCTAGCTAACATCTATCTGCAGGTCTGCTATGGGTGTCGTAAACACGCAAAGCAAAATTTTACAGCTCAGAATACGGCATTTTATTGCTGGTTTTCTATTAGAATCCCATTTCTTTAAAACCTTGTCATTACAGTTTGAAAAGACGATCTCTCCAGAAACAGGGATGCTCTCATTGAGAAACAGTCTGGTGACCCAGCTCTAATTATTCTGAGATTTGTAATTAAAACCTCTCAGCCGAATGAAAATCGCGAAACAGAAAGATTTTGTGAATCTTTACGAAAGGGCAAACTTTATAGAGACTGCGTTGGGGAAACCAAACTGCCAATAGTTTTGGATAATTTGATGTGTTCTGAATAGCAAATGATTATTAGAATACGCTAATAGAGGTTAGACAGCCAGTGCAAGGCAGTTGCACATACAGCCAGTATTTTATATATAGGTAGATGAAAGCTGAGTAAAAATACAGATTTAATTCCCAATACCCTGTACCACTGCAGGAGCCACTTAGCGTTTTGCTGCAAATGCTCTGACTCAACTTGCAGGAAGAACATTGCAGGAATTTTGATTTCCACATCAGATTTCCAGGTCACCAACCAAAGACCTGGGTGTTTGTTTGGTTTTTTCTGTCTCTCAGCAACGCCACCTGAAGCCTCAGAGCCAACCAGCCCTCCCTCGCCTTCAAAACCGGCACGAGGCTCTTGGCTGCTGCTATTTGGAGCAAAGCAAAAAGGCAGCTCCCTTCTCCCCAGCCGTATCAGCTGCGCTGTGCGGACGGGAGCAGGCACTCGTCTTTGGCAGTAAAGGAAGAAGACAGGACTCGAAGACACACAGGGAGCAGATTTGTTGAGTAAGAAGGGGCTGTTTTTACAAAGTCGCTTTACATTGCAGGGACATTGAACATTTACAGGGAGAGAAAGGTGCTTAGGCAGCATTTTCCGGAGTGTGATGCCGAGGAGGCACCGCTGCCCTGGTGCAACGCCCAGGAATGGGGAGGGCAGCTCCTGGGCTGCAGAGCAGGGTGATCTGTGGCCGTCGGCGGGGCAACAATTTTGAGTTGAAAGGTACATTTGAGAGAAAATAAAATTTGTTCATGACCAAGTTAGAAAAGGCAGAATTAATCCAATTAACGATGCATTTTTAATTCAGTGAAACTGCATAGGCAAGTACGGGAGGTTCCATTTCCAGTGCGCTGCCCACCTGCAGAGCCCGTCCGAAAGCCACGGGACCAACAGATGTTCAGCAGAGCCAAAAATCAGATCAGAGGTACAAATCCACATGGGAATCCAGGATCAAGCATGTGCCTAAATACCTTTCTGGATGTAAGCCTTAGGCACTAATGCTACCAAAATCATTGTACATAACGAGCCAGAGTTTTAAAAGCAATTCTCATTCTGTGCTTCTTGGATTAGAAACCAGATTGAAATTTTATTTGTCATTTGATCTTAAATAGGCCAATTGGAGTTCTTTTTCTTTATTATAATTGATTTTGCAGAAGAATATTCCTGCAACCTACTGCACTTCAGTAGTACTGATACTTTGCACTACCTGGTCTTTTTTAAAAATAAGTTTTAGATAAATGAATCAGCAACACACCAATATTCAGAATTCAAAGCAATCTCTCTGCAGAGTTGCTCCCATTGCCGGTCTCAGCGTGAAACCAGTTGCCTATCACTGAGTAAAGCAGGGACTTTCCTTTGGGGCCCCTTTTCTGTTCCCCCAATAAAAGTGCTGCAAATGTTTGCAAGAATCACAAAAGGCAGAAAAGAAAGCGTTGAACTCAGTGAGGAACATGAGCAGAGAGCTTCAATCCTGATAGCATGAGGTGCAACACTTTTACACATTAAACAAATCTTGTAGGGATTTGATGAACAATCAAGATCTGGGTGGGTTTTGCTCCTGAGTACTCACTACTCAGAAAAAAAACCAACACCTGGTGTAACTTCTTTGTTTTAACATAGATGACATGAGAGAGCATGAGCAATTAATCGAATTCTTCCTTCTACCATGCAATTGCCTCACTGGAAATGCCACCTGGAAGCACATGCAAGTGCAATCCCTGCAGAGGAGAACGTGGTTGGGGTCTGCAGGAGCTGATAGGGAAGAGTCCAAAAGAAATATAGACATATACAGAGATATATGTTGTCAGCTAATCCAAGATCATGTTCTCATTCAACCAGAAAGTCATGCAGAGTGACGCAGAGCGTCTCGTAGAAGTGGTATTTAGATGTCACTCAAGCAGATGGTAAATGAGCCTCAGTTGGGTGGGAAGTGTACATGTCGGTGACATGACCACGAGGAGAGCAGTAACCCAGCCACACACAACAACATGAACCGAAGCTTGCCATCGTGATAGCCAAGAGCAGCAGACGCCCTGCTCGTTCCAGGAGGAAGGGGGAGAAAACTGTGGCTTTGCAACCAGAGACAAAGCTTATGGGAAGCCGTAACAACGTAATAGGGTGTGCTTTAGTTCCTAGATCTTCAGTTGGCACCTGTTAAAAACATATTCGATAACAAAAAAATTATAATGTTTCCAGGCTGACTTTGGGGAAGGTTTACAAAACTTGCAGCTTTGGACATGAATTTAACGAAGAACAGAAACTGAGTTGACTTTTTCTCTGCTGTGAGTCAGAAAATGAGAGCCCACGCTGGACGAACAGGTAAGGACCGATCGGTGGTCCCACAGCCGATACAAAGATGCTCGCTGCTTTAGTGGGCTTTGCGTTTAGGTTCATTTAGGTCCAATAGCCCAGCACTCCACAGCAAAACACAGGAGAACGAACTTTCAAACGAGCTGCCCTCAGCCTCCTTAGGATGCTGGGGGGTTGAGCTCCCATTTGAAACCCTCTTTAGGATTAAATCAGCACTTTTAAAAGATGTGGACTCATTGCGTTAGCAGTAATTTGGATCAATAAAAAGTATCACCTGTATCTTCTTGTCATTGATTTTAAACTACTATTGAGCAATTGTTTCATCTTCTCCTTTCATTTTGTAGGCAGCAAACAGCAGCCAAACTAAGTTAGACCAACACGGACTCAGATCCATCTCTGCCTGTGAACCTCACCAGTAACACGGCTCATTCTTCTGAAAAGCTATGGCCAGGAGAAAGAGGCTATCTCCTGTCAGGGAAGGAGGCTGGTTTTTAATCCAGAATTTGTGCTGAGCTCATGGCATACGAGAAGAGCTTGTTAAAACCAGGCGGGAGTGCCAGGAGTCAACGATGGCCTTCGTGGCTATCACTGGGCTCCAGCCTGGTTGCAGGCATGAATAAGAGGCAGAAACCAATTGCTAGAGACATGAAGGAAAGGAAAATACATCTGTGTGTGCAACATTTGCCATGACTAGAGCAGAAACCAAGAGAGGACCAGGCTCAAGCCTGGTTTGCCTCCAGTGATTTCAGAAAAGCCATTGCAAAGGTGAATTCAGCCCAGAGAATGAGCTTTGTAGAAGCAGAGCAACCTGGGCATAAGGAAAACAAAAGGTCAGCCAGTGATCAATGTCCTGGCGAGTAATCCCTCTTCTCTTCCGTGCCCATGACCATGGTGTTAGGCTTGGGTTGAAGGGAGCCACTGAAACCATAAGAGGAAAGACCAGAGTTGCACCATCCCCGCAGCCACCACATAAACCTGGCTGAGCATGGGGCCTCGGGCGAGAGAAGGGACACTGGAGCCAGACACGTCTTTAACCGTGGCCGTTGGTGTTTTGCAGCACCGTTGTTATACTGTGTCACCCCTCTCTATACTGTCACACAGCCCTTCTTTTCCCAAACTGATGGTGGGCGCTGCCAAACACCACATCACACACAGCCTGCATCTTCTAGCAGCCTTTTGCAATTTGCCAGCTCAGCTGGTTTGCATTTCAGGAGCAAAGCAAACCAGCCAGATTGCACCTTCGAGCTGGCTGATTATTCCTAAACAAGGCTTTAAGAAACACGCTACCCCCAGAGCCACAGGCCAGCCAAGGGCTCTGCAAACACCTTTCCTTCACGGGTGTGTGTGCCATTTCTTCCCACTGCCAGGTCTCTGTGGAGCCTTCATCTCCCTGAGTAGTCGCCAGGGAAGTCTCTTACAAAGCAGAATATGATAGACTTGCTGATCTGGCTTGGTATAGTTACATTGCTGTCTAAAAATGCACGCATTATTGCATTTATTGACTAGAGATCATTGGTTTAGTACATTAAGAAACCACAGCTTCTACGGAGTTTTCCATTAATTTACCTACATTGAGTTTTCCATGATTGCCTCATCGCGTGCTGTTATTTTGTTATCTGCATCCTAGATGAAGGCTTTTAGCACTCAGCCTTAGATGCATCAAAGCGCTGGCATCTGCCCCTAAGAGTCTGTGCAGCGGGGGAGCGGGGGCAGGCAGCCCAGGGGTCCAGGGAAACAAGATATTTG